GGAGACCCTCCACTATCACATCAACACAGCGATTAATACTGTTAGACTTTTCAAATACTTTAAGTTACGTGTAGCAGTGTTTTTAGAAACAGAAATATAACTCTTTACAAAGGAGAGGGTTTTGCAGACTGCAAAACGGGTTCTTCCTTCTGTAGTCTTATGGACATCAACGTGACAAACCTAAAGATTTTTAGTTGCAATCTGACAAATTAAGTTTTCAAAGTATCAAAGAGTTATAAGTTAAAATGCATATTTTAGAATAAACAATAGGATGGGATAAAAATAATTGTATAAAACATCTTAGAAGAAAGAATAAATTATATTTTTCCCTGAAGTCCATTAATCTGTCTGACTATCTGTTTGTCAGTCCGTCCATCTATTATACAAAACATGGCAAAATTACTCATAAAACTCTGTATATGATTAATCCATCCATTTTCTAACACCCTTGTCCTTAGTGGGGTCAGGAGGGGTGCTGGTGCCTATCTCCACCGAGCATTTCAGGCAAGAGGCAGAGTATACCCTGGACAGGTCGCTTGTCTGTGGGAGGGCAACAGGACAAACAACCATGCACACACACCTAAGAAGAATTTAGAGGGATCATTTAACCTGACAATCATGTTTTTGGACTGTGGGAGGAAGCCAGAGAACCCACAGAGAGAACATGCAAACTCCATGCTGAAAGGCCCTGGGCCAGGAATTGAACCCAGGACCTTTTTGCTGCAAGACAACAGTTCTACCTACCGCACCACTGTGCAGCCCAGGCATTATGAATATTTTAGTTCATGTTGATTTTTTCAGACACATACACAGCTATCTGGATTCAGTGAAAGCATGATTTATAATCAATCCTTTCATTAGGGGATTTAAAGTTTGAGTTGAGCGTACCACTGTTACGCTGTCTAAAACGCCTCTACATCCAGTGCTAAAGTTTTAAGATGGAAAAGGTAAGTTTCTGTGCGGAATGAGAAGTGGTCATTTGATTTAAGGAATTACACATTTAAAAGTCAATGTAGAAATGATTCCAAATTGAAGAGAAATAGTAAACAATGTGTTTAAGCCAATAAATGAAAGGCATCTGAAGATGCAGCCTTCAGAGAGAGATATGCTGCAGATAGAGCCTTGTTCAGCAAAATCCTTGGCTATGTTGGAAAGAAAATGCCAAATCACATTCTGCACGTTCCATAACAGTGAGGCTCTGCTGTAATAGAGTCTGCATACTGAACATACCTGTCGGTACAATTTACAATACTGTGGAAAACAGATTTCTTGTCTTTCTTTTTTTGTCACAACTACATATTTCATCTCAGTAAAACACAATGTTAATATCAGACAAATATACCCAGAATAAACTCTTTTCAAACAGTGCAGATGTGTTAATTAAAATATACACTTCACACATTGAAGCAGGTAAATAAATCATCTTTTGGAACCATTAGTATCGTTTTACTTACATAAACCCAATAAAGTTCTGTGATCAGGTCACTTGAGGCCATAACAAAGCTTCTTTTGGTCATATAAAATGCTATTTGTGGCATCAAACAGCACCACTGTAAAATGCAGTTGTGGCAACATTATGCTTAGAGGAGGTTTTCTTTTAATGGGGACAAATAAGATTTTCTAAGTTGATGGGTGAAATCAAACCTTACAAAACTCAGTCAGACATTCACTTTCCAACAGGACAACACAAACCATATCCATGTGTTAGGGTGGTATAGTCAAAGTAGACCAAAAACCTGTCGAGAATTAGTGGCAGGGCTTATTAATTTTTGTTTACCGATGCTTTCAACCTAATGTAACTGAGTTAGAGGTGATTTGCAATAAGGAAGCTGTAATTGCAACAAAATTGTCTCTGCAAAATATTGACTCAGGTAGCCTTAATTCTTGTACACTCCACACTTTTCCAAATTTCCATTTATGACGACGTGTGAAAACCATGTTTTTTACCCTACCACTTCACAATTATAGATTCATGTGCTCAATAAAATATATTGAAGTTTGGGTTTGTAATCTAAGAAAAATACAAATTCAATGGTGATGAACATTGTCATGGAGAAAGGCATATCTTTTACTCTGACTTGACAGAAACGAGAAACTAAAGAGTCAGTAAATCTGTATCTGGATGAAACATCTGGTTCTGTTTCAGTAAGGAAGCACAGAAGAATCAGTTATATCAGCAAGCCCTGCAGGTGCGCCATGTCTTTAATAAAGGCCCTTCAGGGGACACGGTTTCTATTTGAGGAGGCTTTTATGCATAGTTTCGGCAAGTCCTGCTTCAGTACTTCAGCCTGTGCCTCATGTAGAACAGTGGGACTTCAGGAGAGCACTTTACTCCCCCTATCAGAGTATGATGGTGGTAGAGGTCACTTAACCACGAAGCAGACCAGAGTAGTACAAGCTTGGGCTGCTTTTCATTCAACAACATGAAATAACAGACTGAGACTGAGATAGTCTTTGTCTTTTTAAATTTCACTGCCTTTGTCATAATTCATCACAACAAAGCAGCAACAAAAAATGAACATGAAAAGACCAAATTTAGAAACATCCATCCAGGACTGAAGCTGCAGTGATGTGAAGCAATAGCTAAAAATAAAGGCCTTTGTTTCATGCCGTAAAAACAGGCTGCTCATTTAATGTCTGTTCCTCATTAATCCTGATGTTACAAAAGCAGGCCTTGCTCTTTGGATCCGGCGTGGTAATATCTCTTTAATGTTGCACTTTTAAATACTGTTTGTTCTGAGCACAGCTGGCAAACTAATCTGTTTGCACAGATAATTTGTCATCAGCTCATTGGCTAGAGTCTCTGGTGTTATCCAATCAGACCAAACCTTGGAGGTCATTGTGACTGCAGGACTTGGGTCATCACTATTGACAAATCCATCAGGGACATATATTCTGCTTGTGTGGGAGTCACAACTTTGAAAGTCTCACACATAACCTTTTGCCTCCTGGAATGTAAATGTCAGCCATGATTAGATAAGTCAGTATAACCTAAAACATTAAGTTTCAATTATGGTAAAAACAATAAAATATTACTATATGCTGCTATCATTTAAATTAGACTAGTTAATAATGTTTCATACAGTAGACAAAAAAGTTTTAGCCTATCCTGGGTAGCAGTTGTTCATGAATGAGGACATGCAGTGTGTGCAGTTTGCACATCATTCCCATGAGATCCTTGGCATTTCCTTAAAGTTTACCTAACACACCACAGTGTCCCATTCCGAGATTCACAGTGGTCAATGGATTTAACACAAGCATGCACACAGCTGTGTTAAAGGACCCATATGGTTAAACTTAGTGGGAACAGGATACACTGCAGGATAAATAGATACTGCCCCCTGGTGGAGTATGTAACCACATTTTGTGTAGTGTAAATTAGAACGTCACCAAAACGTTCAATTATATCATTTCCAAAATGTTATAGCTTCACATAAAAATACATTTTAATCCCATAAAACTAATGAAAAATATGTTTAATAGAGGAATGTTATGCAATTGCCATGTTATCTTCCACACATGATGGGGCAGACTGTTGACCTGACGCCAAAACCACCCACATAGAGGGTAAGCCACAAAAGGTCGTTGCTAAGGAAGCTGGCTGTTAACCAACCACACTAATGTAAAGTAAAGTTAAGTGAAAGTAAAAAAGTGCAGTAGACAAAACTGTTCTCAAACTGTACTGCACAGGATGTTTAAGGGGTATTAGGCACCAGACCTATAACTATTGAACAACTTGGGCATCTATTACAGCTCAGCAGTCACAGGCTGTACCATGCCATGCTGCACTGATGCAGTAATTAATGCAAAGCAGACACAACCAAGTATTCAGTGTATATACTGTACAGCACATTGATATACTTTTTAGTAAGTCAGCATTTCCATGTTAGAAATCCGGTAATGATCTTACGCAACATTACATTTTTCAGAAAACTGAATTTTAGGTTTCATAATGCAAGTCATAATCACCAAAGACAAGAAAAAGAAAAGGAGAAATATATCACTGAATGTAGCGCATCTTTGAGCTTCACTTTTAAAATTTACTGAAAGAAATCTATGCTTTATTTAGGTGAACCTGTGCAGTCCACATGGGGACACGCAGAAAAATTGACTCAACTTCAAAAAGATTATATTTCTGATAAATTTATTCAATGCCTTTACAAATCCATAAAATGCTTCTTTTTTTTTTTGTAAGAAAATGTGTAATGAAAAAGAATGTGAACAGTTGTAATCTTTTAGAGATACATTCCATTTCTTTAAAAAACTATAATGCATTGTAACACTCCAATGCGTAGGACGCGATTGTAGAGGGCCCATTTCCATCATAAGTGCATTTTCTTCAATTCACAATAAACAAACCGTTTACCGGATGTTCTACAGATATCTGGTTCATTTTGGAAGACTAATAATAATAATCAAATGAAAGAGGGGAAAGTAAAGACAGACAAGTTACATTGTCAAAACTAAAGAAGTAACTTGCAAAAAAATGGTTGGGTGAATAATATTTGGCAGTGAGTGTGAAATGAATGTCCTCAGACATATTACAAACTGGTTATTGTTGATTTTTCTTCTGGTTTGTTTTATGCTGCTTTTCAAAATTTTGCGTAAACATCCTTTATAAATGTAGAACATGAGGCGACTTCCGTGAGAAACAAGGACCACTGTGAATCTAGTTTTGAGCATTGAAAGATTAACATTTTTATTCACTTTTTTCCAAATTCAGTCATGATTTTCTTGGCTGTAAATTAGTGTATGATTTTGAATACAACCATTTTCTAGGCACTCTTTTCACTTATGTAAGAGTTCCATTGGAAAACAAAAAAATCCTTATAAAGCACACAATGAAAAACAAGACTTGTGTAAGTTTGTTTTTAAAGTAATCTAGAAGCAAAAATGAAGGAGAAAGTTAGATGGTAAACAGAGTTCAAGGAGAGAAAAAAAGGGCAAAAAAAAAAAAATCCCAAAAACAGTATGTGGATAAAACTCAAGAAAAAGAAAGATTTCACATCCATTAAGTGTGCATATTTATGGAAGGCCTTCGTGATGGCAATCTAATTCTCAGGAGACATTCACATTGAGTTACAGCTCCACATTAAATAAGACAGATGGACCAAAGGGCAGAAGACAGGGACTCTGTAAACATGAGGACATTGTGCTTAGAGGATACAGGCGGGGCTTTAAAGTCGCATCAGATCCAGGTTGGAGCAGACATGGCGTTTGGAGGCATGTCGATGCAACATCCCTGGGATGCCGGGGTTCCATTTGTAAAGATTGGTCACTTAGTGATGCTGGAACATTAATGCTTGAAGACATGTCAGTTGTTCTTGAGGAGATCAACGCATCCTTGCAAAAGAGCCACATTGTTCTGTGGAAATAGAAGAAATTGCATACATAAGTGATATTGTTGATCTGAAATAAATGTTTGTTTTTTTTAACTTTCCAATCATGAATATTTTTAATGTTCAATCTCTATATGGTGTTTATAAATAGGACACAAATAATTATATGAGAACAGTGACTATTCAATGACTATTCATGGTCCAAGCAAGAGGTTTAACTACAGACAACTAGTAGTTAAAAGAGAGGGAAAAAAAAAAAAAAGGGACCCTCTTACCTTTGGGGGGTTTTTTTCAAGCTCAGCCATTTCTATGAGGTTTTTCCTGAAGGCCACAACTCGTCTGCCCTTGAAGCTCGTGAGTTCTGAAAAAGATTGTTGTAGAAAAAACGTTTGCTCAGTGTTAAATATTTTACAGTTAAAGAAACAACCACAGAACAAGTCTGTGTACTTGATTAGAGTTGCATCTAATCAAGTCCACAGAACAAGTGTGTGTACTTGATTAGAGTTGCATCTAATCAAGGATGCAGACTTGAAAATGTTGCAGGGACAAAGGGAACAGGCTGGTTAAATCTTATTTGTCCAACTGATTCCAGTTTGCTTATGTACATGATAAATCTTCTTCAGTTACTTGTGGAGTACCACAGGGTACAGTGCTTGGGCCACCAATTGCTTTAAAATTTCCGCTGCTATGCTAATGACTTCTTACTCTTCAGACAGACTTTTGTTCTGTTAAGCTGCGACACCTGCTTAATGTTTTCCTCTAAATGATGCGATTGGCTTTATCTTTCTAACTAACTTTCTTAACTCTGACCAACTGTGTGTACTCTCTTTCATCCTATTGCCTTTAAAACTGGGGCTATATAAATAAAGTGAACTGAATTGCCTCTGAAACACATTAATACACAAACCTTTCTTGGCAGATTCTGACAACTTGTCAAATTTCTGCAGGCACTGTCGCTGGTGTTCCTCTGCCTGGGGAATGTCCTTGCTCTTCAGTCTGGCTTTATCCAGGGCCTTGTTCGAGTTCTCGTAGTCAACCAATGCTCGAGCTCGCCGGTACAGAAGGTCCTTAGAAATTTTAAACAATTTCACAGGATGAAAATGAAAAACGAAATACAAAGAGCATTTAATAAAACAATTCCAATTAATCTAATTTTAGCTTTTCAGTGTAAAACAGCACTGTGTCCAGTGTTTTCAGCTTGGAGTATTTTCTTATAACCTAACCCCATTTTAAACTTCTACACATCTTAATTCCCGACTCATGTAGTTGCACTTAATTCAATTTAGGGGAATCAGAATGAAGGCAGGCTGAATATATACCATATTGTTCAGATTTTTATTTGAGAAGATAAATGAATACCTGCACCTTTTTCCTTCTAAACAATTATAAACAACTTCATATTAGTCTGCCACATACAATGCATTGAACTATATGGATAAAAGCTAAGTAAATGTGTAATGGAGTAAAATGAAATGAAGGATTTTCATTGAGGATGGAACAACTTACCTTGGCCGCCTGGATGTCCCTCATGTAGTATCTCAGCAGCTCTGTGAGTTTCAGCTCTTGGTCTGATGCTACTCTTCCCTCCACTTTCTGCAGACGCATAAAAAAGGCAAAGTTCAGCTTCCATAAATTTGTAGGCAAATTATAGGCATTCAGATTGTTGTGTGACACAGTTATACTTACTCTGAGTCTCTCAAACAGGTCTGACAGCTTCTCCAGATTTCTGAAGCGAACATAAAAAAAAAGTCTGAGCAGTAGCACTAAAAACTTATTTTATTATGTGCAAAATAAGCCTATGCACAGCAGTCACATATGCATTAACCTCACTTCTTATTTGGTGTACTGTCTTCAGCACAGAGGCTGTTCAAAGTGGCAGAAATGTGAATGTAATCATCTGCAATATCTACAAAAGACGAAATCAAGATTAGAATCATGCAAACGTAACATCTCAAAGCAGATTTTTTTTTTTCTTTGCAGATGTTAAAATGATCAAATACTTTTGTGTGAACGTGTCATTTTCTCCGCTTTGGCAGTGGAATCCTTTATTTTGCTGTAGTAGTCAAGCAAAAATGTTTTCTCCTGCTCAAAAAAGTCATCTACTTCCTGTTCAGGAAACAGAAACATAAAATGTTATATGAGGAAGTCACTATAAAACAGCAACTGCCATATAAAAACTAGGCAGTCAATCATCCATGAACTCCACCTTTATTCCTGAGATGAGGACCTCATCTGCAGACTTCACCATGTTTTTGAAGAACCCTCCAAACATCTCCTTGGCATTCTTTCTCCTCACACTGAGCTAAAATAAGAAAATTCAGAAAGCGTTAGAAATGAGTGTGTATTTGACAAACTTATGTGTATGATAAAGTCTTCAGAAAATTAAATTAGATAAGGTTTTGGTATCCAGAACAGAGTTATCTTGGCATAGTTATATTTAACAGTAGCCAATGTTTTATTATCTCGCTGCACTCTTCATTACACCGCATAAAGTGTCCGAGTTTGGCCAGCAAACACAGATAAGTCTAACTGCTGATCGCAGCAGGATGCACGCCATGTGTCACATGTTTCTGGTAAACTCTTCCTTTCTTTCCAACCGACGGCTCGGAAAAGGAAGTCAGCAGTATGAGAAACTCACATCCTGGTCATACTCTAAGAAAATCTGGAAGTTTCTGTCCTTGCTTAAAACAGGGTGAGAAGACAATCTCTGCAGAAAGACTTCGTGAACTTGAACTGTTTTCTTGAAGACAGCCAGGTATTCACTGGAAAGCGACAAGAAATGATAGCATTTAAATATATATATTTGTGTGTTTTAACAATATTTTGTAAAATAATAATGTTAAACTCACGCCTCCAACTCCTGCTTCATTTTGGTATATTCCTCTTTAGTCATAGTCGATTCACCTTCCCCCAGTTTGTGCATCTTATCTCTTGGACTCTCAAAATCCGGCTTGGGGGGAGCTGGAGGGATCTAGAAATGTTTGAGTAAGGCATAAGATCGCTCAAGGATTCTCACCAAATCAAAAGCACAGTAATAACATCAATGCTTTATAATTTACATGCAAAATATGTGCTTCTTTTGTGGTACATGCAGCCACCAAAGACAAACTATTATGCAGGAACTTCAGTCCCTAAAGGTCCAACTTACGATCAGACCGGCATAGTCCTCGGTTTCAACCAGAGCATCATGCAACCAGATGAAATCTTCATGCTGCCTAGGAACAGAGAAGTCTGGCTTCTGGAAGGAGGTCAGTGTAGTCTGACAAAAGGGATAATGTTCTTTGTTAAAAATATTCTTGTTAAATTCATTTCATAGAATCAGATTAGGAAAAAAAAAGTGCAGCATTTTCATGTTGGGGATTTTTTTTACCTTCGTATGGACTGTGAACTTGACTTTATCCCTTTCACACAGAGCATCAGGAATGTCAATGAGAAGTGCTGTGTCATTGTTCAAGTCTACTGACACAGAGCGCAGCTAAGGAAAAAAAATTAACCTGTTAATAGAGATATCATTTATGTTTGCTACACACAGTGATATTTTCCATGTGTCTATTTCTGTTAATCTTGATGATCATGGATTACAATTAAAGGCAAAATAACATGAACTTAAGATTTAGTTGGGACTCCTTTTTGCAAATCTGGCCTAAAAATCAAATTAGCATTTTAGTTCTCTCCCTGGTTTAGCGCACCTGGATCAAATGATGGCTCATTAGAAGGCCTAAGAAGAACATTGACATGCTGAAAAGGTTGTTACTAACACCAGGGAGAGATCTAAACCATGCAGGATGCCGGCCCTCAAGGACCGACTTAGGGGACCACTGGTCTAGGTCAGGGGTGTCCAAAGTCGGTCCTCGAGGGCCGACATCCTGCATGTTTTAGTTCTGTCCCTAGTGGTAGCAACAACCTCCTGAGCAAGTCAATGTTCTCTTTAGGCCATCAAACGAGTCATCATTTGATGCAGGTGCACTAAACCAGGGAGAGAACTGAAACATGCAGGATGTCGGCCCTCAAGGACCGACTTTGGGGACCACTGGTCTAGGTTATCTCCATTGTGTTCTACCTCACTTTTTCCTCCCATCCAACTTTCTATAAAGCCAGCTACTTCAGCAATCATCTTTTGTGGCTTACCATCGTTGTGGAAAATGTCGATGACTGACAGCTGTATAAGTGTCAAGTTCTCCAAATGTTATGGAGATCACAACAAAACACTTCAACGTCATCATCTTTTTTTTTTTTTTATTGGCCATTTTCTACTTTTCTAAGTGAACATTTCCAAGAGTTTTTGTTAGTTGTGAGCCATAATTAGTAAAATTAGGAGTAATACAAACTTCACCTACATTTCATTCCATATAATGGACTTTCACTTTCAGTAACCAATTGTAATTCTAATTTATTAAGATGCATCTGTAAATGTGTCAGCAAAATCTTTGTAAAGCATCTCTTCGAATTGCCTCTGCCTGCTGAGTTTGGTAGCCCAACAATGCACAAGCTGTTCACAGAAATGCTCTGTTTGCAGACACTAGTTTCACACGCCAAAAGCTATTTCCCACCATCACCAAAACAAATACAAAAACACACTGCAAAGTGAAATACAAACTAACCTACTGGCTCCAAAAATTAAAAACAGTGCAAGAGACTTGTGACCCCTATCCACGGCACATATCAGAATGTGCTAAGAAAAATAAACATGGTTACAAATGGGCGAAAAAAACCCAACATGATTAGCAAATATACTATAGCAAATATCTACATCTATTTCAGAGTGCTGCTATAATTTATACATAGGTATGCTGCATCACTGTTATCTAGTTTATTTTCTGAAGATGATATCTAGACCCCACACTTGTTGATTCACTACCTCAACTCTGAGAAACCACTGGTTAGCCAACCACCACCACAGGAGGTGCATAAAACTCTAACACTTGCAAGTACTTCATCCCTAAAGTAAGCAGCAAGCATGGAGTAACTTGCTTGAGCTTAGAAGCAAGGCCACACCCTTTTTGTGCAAATCCAGCTGAATTAAGCGAGTACTTTTATAAGTGGGAAAACATGCTACTTATCATCAACTTTCATTATTTGACAAAAATGTTACAGTTGGATACAAAGTATAACTTCTGCTGCAGCTCGCCATCATTGTAAAGAGTGTAAAACCCTCATACAATCTTAGACTTCACTGGTAGCACAAGTTAAATAGGCGACAATTTAAGAATTATACTCAGTATTAAATATTTAATCATAAAAAGAATAAATTCTTTGAGTTGGGCGTTTAAAAGGTAGCCTGGTATTTTTGCTACTTAACCGCTAATCGGTGTTCACAGCAGGAAAAAAACAATGAAAACAGGGGATAAAGTTTTCAGCACTGACATTTTCATTCAGTGGGGAATCAAAAGCAATCAACTATTGTAACTTACAGACATCCTAATGACATTTCACTCATTGATTAGGCTATCAATATACCGTTGGCGACTTTTAGCCAGAGGCTAACACCACCAGTCAATAACTTTGCTACAAAAAGAAGCAACTGTTATCAGCTAACCGTCTCAAATTACAAATCACTAAGCAGTTACCGTACCTTTTCTTTGTCACTTTCATCTATGGATGTCATGATAGTGCTCAAATTGATGAAAAAGAGAGAGAGAAAAAGAAGGTCAAACTAAATCAAACTCGATGCAGGAAGCCGTTTTCTAGGTGGCTGCGTTAGCTTCCTAACAAACTGTCAAACAATTTTTCCGCCCCCTTCCTGGTGATGAAAGCTCAAAAATCCCGCCTTGGTTCAACCTGATTGGTTAGAAATCTGAAACGCTAACGCTGCTATTGGATGAATACTTCATCAATCACGTCACATGCTCCCTTCACGAAAACTTTTTTTTTTTAATTCTAGATAATGTTTCAACATTTGAAAATAATAAAAATGAAAAGCAGTGATATTTGAAAAATATAAGTAACGAAAACTCAAGGAGATAATGTAATAGTGCTACATAAATACAGAGGTACGTGAACGTTGCCACCATAGTGTGAGTGGCCTTTTTACACTTGCAACAGTTCAGAGGCGGGGGGGCGGGGCGGTTGAAGTTTAAGCTTTGTAACTCACCAATGTAAGGCATTAGTAGCATACTTCTATTTCACATTAAATTATAAATAAATAAATATTTATATTTATTTATAAATATTATAAATAATCTGTTCCTTTAATAATAATAATAATAAAAAAAATAATAAATTTTTAAATCATGTACAAGGCAAAAAAAAGGCCCAAACATGTCTAAAGTTACACTGTACAGCCCACTTCAATCGTGTTATATATTTAATTTCTGAAATCATAAATAAAACACTGAAGAGTTATTAATTATGTTAGTCCTTAATTGTAGGAAGCTACTACACAGAATTTTAATTTCTTTAAGTCAACAACAACTCTTTGAAGAATATGAGTTGCAATAACATATAATTTCTCTTTGGGACCAGTGAAGTATTTTTAATGTAATTTAATTTCTGCTTAAATGAGTGGTTTGGTGGATTTTCAGAAGTTAGACAAAATGCTCATTTTAACGTAATCGTTCTGTCAGGCTTATATTTGCAATTTTTTATTTTCCAATGATCAAAATTATTAATTTACAACCAAAATTAATTAACCATAAACGTCAGTGTTTATTCTTTCGGGAAACATAGTTTCCGAGCATTTGTTTTCAAAATAAATTGACACTCACAAAATAGCGCTTTACGTATTGTTTCGATAGGGCGATTGGCGCCCACTCTTTTAATCGTCTTTAGGGATGCATTTCAATGTTACACCCACCCACATAAGTAATGTAGTTTTTACTGTTTCAAACTACAACCAGAGAACAGCATTATGAACTTCACTTCCCATCTACAAGTTGTTGTGCCACCATAAAGGCGCGCCGGCTAGAAACACAATTGTTTACTTCGCCGAGTTTTAGCTGGAACATGTTGGGGCAAGAACCCAAGTTGTATAAGTGCTAAATTTTGATTTAAAACGCGAAACTACCCGAGACTCATACTGTTTTGCTGCGAATAGCACCGTTGTCTGAGTGTGTTGTGTTGAAGTCGCAAGAATGTTCGTTTTGAACCGTGTTTTGTTTGCTGGGAGCATCATCGTCCCTGAAAGCACCTCCCTCACAGCGTGCCACTTCTCCGCTGTCCACCGCCGGACATGCCCCAGGAGGAACAGTCCCTACAGTTCTGTGGACAGTGAGCGCTATTCTTCTCTGGTGAAATCCGTCATGTCCTCCAGGGTCAGCTCTCAGACCCCAGAGACCCTCCAAGCGGAAGATGACCACGTTTATGGACCAGTTGTCAAAGCTCAGACGCCTTCACGGACCGAGCAAAGGCTCCCCAAAACTCTTCATCCTTTCATAAATTCTGAAAGGACTGTAGAAACGGAGGAGCCAGAGGCGGGACCCCCAGCCCGGATTTTGTTAAATCGGGGTAAGAGTAGGCCGTTTATCCCGAGTGTGACTCGCATTCTTCAGCAGACACTTTCTCCAGAGCAGATCTTCTACCTGGAGAGATGGAAGAGGAGGATGATCGCTGAGCTGGGAGAGGAGGGCTTCAAGGAATACAGTCAAAGTAAGATTTTTAAAGATACTATAAAGCGTTTTTCCCATACCCAAATATACTCTTAAAAACATCTCCACAGCATGATGCAGCCACTACCATGTCTCACCTGTCTCAGTCAGGAGATGTGTTCAGGATGATGTAAAATCATTGACAAAGAGTATAAATGCAAAGCAGTCGAATGCACCCTGGCTACTCAAGCAGATAAATACTGTGAAATCGTTATACATTATACCTTGCAATCAAAGCTGATATGTTTTTTTGCCCAGATATATTTAAACAAGGGAAGCTTTTCCATTCTGCTCTGGAGGACATTCTGACCTCTGCTGACACATGGAGGAACAAGAATCTCTCAGAGACACCACAGTGTCCTCCTGAAGCGCAAGGATACATCCAGAGCATCTCTCACGTACTGGAGGACGTCAGTGCAGTGAGGGCCATTGAAAGCTCTGTGCAGCACGGTTCCCTGAATTACCTGGGAATTGTGGACTGCGTCGCACGCTACAGGTAAAACTCCTCTGGACTTCAGTTTTTCTTACCGCCTTCATGTCTCTCACAGTCCACTTCTCTCCACAGGGGTGTGCTGTGTGTCATAGACTGGAAAACCTCAGAAAAACCCAAACCATTCTTGAGCAACACATATGATAACCCTGTTCAAGTTGCAGCATATGCCGGGGCTCTGAACAGTGATGGCAACTACAAATACCAGGTGATCTACCTTGATAAATGACACATCTTATATTTACTCGTGTTGTAGTAACAGGGTGTAGTTAAATTCCTTTTATCTTCTCTGAATTTCTTGTGCTTACAACACTTGTCTCATGACTTCTCACTGCAGGTTGAAAATGGCCTCATAGTCGTTGCCTACAAAGATGGCTCCCCTGCTCACGCTCACCAGATAAATTCGGAGCTGATGTCAGAGTACTGGAAAACTTGGTTGATACGCCTAGAGGACTACAGAGAGCAGAGGTAAAGAAAAAACATAATGAGTTTATTTATTTATTTCGTTGTTATGCCTCTTAATGCTTTCTTTACACACCCAGGGTGGCAATAAGTGTAGCACTTCACTTCCTTATGATTTTTTTTTAAATGTAAATACCACTTTGTGGCATAACTGTTGTTAGCAGACTAGTACATAATTGATATAAAGCTAACCAAACAGCTTCAAGCATCACTAGTCGTTGTACTAATCCTTTAAAACAGAGGGATGAAAAACATCGCTTAGAGATTTTAGCTCTTATGGTGTTTTGGTTTGAATCTAGAGTATTGTTAAAGAAGAATGACTTTCTTGTTCTTATTTATAGTTTACTTTTTAGCAATTATCTGGGTGTAACCAGGAAGATGATTGTTTTTTTAAATAGCACCACATCCAAACACAATCCCCCTGCCCCACAAAAAACCCCACATTTTTTGTCTCTTCTCAAACAGCTGTTTATTTGTCAACAATCAAGCGATGTTTCCCATAATCTCACATTTTCTAATGTTTAATTTTCAGGTCAAGTGCTTCATCAAGTATGTCTCCTGAAAAGTGATAGATCTGCACTGAAAAGCTCCAGCTTAACAACTGAAGCCTGAATTAGAAATGGCAAATAACAAGTTAGGAATGATTTTTATATTTATGACTAATTCTCCTGTTATTTTGAATGAAAGTCAAACAACTTTCAAACACCTTGTAATTATACATTTATGAAATGTATTATTTATAAGGTTTGCTTTTCTCATTTAGGCATTTAAAAATCATTGAATCCGTACCATGTTTCTCTGTATGAGGGATCCTCAGAGAATCCCATGCCTTTAAAGAGCTGGTAAGAGGTTCGGTTCTCCTCCTCTATGAAACAGAACACGGGGTAGCCCTGACCACTGAAGTTTTTAGCCATGCTGCTAATCAAGACTTTAGCGTAGCCTTTCCCTCTGTGTTCTGGCAAAGTATATAACATTCCTACGGCGCAGTACACGTAGGTCAAAATCCAGGAAACAGGCTTCCCTTCGGAATCCAGAACGCAGCAGGATGGGAAGTTTGTAACCATATTGCGGATCATCCTGGCAGCGCCTTCGTTACTTCCAAACTTCCACGTCTGATTCACCAAGTCAAGATGGGATTCAGCCAGGGAGCTGAGGCAGATCCCAGAGCTGATGCACAGAAGAACAAACTGACATGTCAGAGCAGATTTCTGTTCTTGTAATGAGATGCTATTTTATTAATAATTTGCTAGAAACTTTGATTTTTTTAATTGATACTTTTTTTTTTTTTTTTTTTTTTTTTTTTTTAAATTAAGCATAGTGTATAGTTGGTCATACCAGTCTATAGCAGGAAGCTTGGATACATCTTCTAATATCATCATGTGACAAAGTGACAGTTGGTTGTTGGGAACATTCCTTTCTGCTGCAACTGCTTTGACTAGCTCCATGTGGGGAAGAGTGATTCCTTTAACACAAGCAATCATAGCTCACATGAGTAAAACTTAGTTTGCATTTTTATTTCTTTGCTTCACTGATAAAATTCAAATAAAATCTTATTCTGACTGCAGTGCATTGTAAAGGTTTTTTTCAGTTTGTCACCTTACAGACACAAATTAGAACGTGTTTTACTGGGATTTGTCTGTGATGGACCTAAACAAAGTAGTGGATAATTGTGAAGTGGAAAGAAAGTTATGCAAAGTTCTCAACCATTTTACAAACAGAAATCTGAAAATGTATGCATTTGTCTTCAGTCCATTTTAGTCTGATACTCCTAAATAAAATTATCTTCAGAAGTCACGTGATTAGTAAACAGAACCCTCGTGTGTCTATTTAAATCTCAGTATAAACAACTTTTCTGTGAAGGTCTTAGAGGTTTATTAGAGACATAATTAGGATCATACAGATCCTAATTATCCTAAACATCACACAATTTCTATGGGTAGATAGTTCAGTCTCTAGATGTGCAAAGCTGAGATAAGCAAACCTAAAGCATATCTTTAAAAAAAAACTTGCAGCTGTATTTAGTGCACATATATATCTCAACTCCACAATTATGAACCTCTTTCTGGTGGTTTTTCATAGAAAATCCCAATAAAGCAACATTTAAGTTTCTGGTTATGTTACGGGAGGTGTGAATACATTTGCAAAACGCTGTATATGTATGTATGTATGTGTGAGTACAGGAGCAATTTTCCTACATGATGGTGGAAAGAAAGTGCATAAAGAGTGTGGAAAAACTACAAATTTCACGCAGTGAACATATAAAGAAGAATCTGGTTCTGTTTCACAAAGGAAGCACTGCTGTGTTAGTTCCACCAGCAAAACCTGTCTGTAATAAAGGCTTTTGAGTACAAGTGGAGCATGCCAGCATAAATATGAAAAGGCTTATTGAAATCTGACAGATAAGAAAACAATATGCTCTTATATATTGTAATCTTTCTAGTAGTTATACAATACAGGTTGAGTTTATAACAGATATATTTTCCTATCTGTGAATTATCTACAGGGAACTTTGAACACAATGACAATTCAAACCAAACTAACATTTTAACTTGAACTCTGGGGTAATAAAAACAAATTCAGTCTATCATAAGTGTGTTGATTCAGTTTAATTTAATAAAAAGAACAAAAGAAACATTATTACCGAGACAAAGGTACCTGCTCCAGTCAATCACAGAAGAGTTCCTTAGTGTTTCGGTGAGAATAGCTTCATCATTTGCAAAAACCATTGTGTCTTTGAACAGATCCGTTTTCTAGAAAGACAACAGGTATGCATAATTTTAAAAACTGACATACACAAAGTCTGCATGTATCTCTTCCAAAAGAGTAATTTACCTGTTTATACTTGGGTTTGCAGATAATTACGCTGAACTGTGGCCATCTGTCGACTAAAACGATGTAAGGATCTGATTTCACTCTGTTTCTGAGCACCAAGAAACCATAAATCTGTAAAATAAAACAGAGTTTTAATCCAAAGTCTAGTGAAGTTAGTCTGCCGCTCAAACTTAACTGTTTTAGCGGCAGACAAACAGTTAAGTTGTGAAATGCGGTCGCCAGACGAATCCACGTGCAGATCATAAGTCATGCAGCAAACATACCTTTAGTGACTGAGGAAGCTGCCTTTGCAGTTCAATCTCTGCAACTTTCAGCTGGTCTTCAGTCAGCTCCATGATGTTAAGCTAAGAGTAATTGAAGCGAAAACCTAACGTCAGTTTCTCAAGGTCCAGTGGCGAGGGGCGGGGCTACGGAACTATGGAACTTCTTTCTCCTTTCGCACTTTCGAGAAAAATGACTTCTTGACCAAATAAAAGCACCAGCTATGCGGCCGTTTCCGAAAGCATAGTAATTATTATTATTATTATTAATTATTATTATTAATAACTGCATCATTTTTTATTTTTTAGTATATGCTTTGTTTTAACAGTATACTGTTAAATCTAAAACAGTTGATCATAGAATGCTCTGACAGACAGGACACTGAAGACATTTTTAAATCATGTAAAATCTTTATTTTTGAAAATTAGTAAAAAAAAAATAAAATAAAAACAAGTCCTGGGGTAGAATCAAGTTCTTGTTGGCTTACTGAAGATTGCACAGGAATAAACAATATGCCTGATTGGAGACTATTGAAAAGCATGTCAGTTTACAGTCATACATGTGGTGCTTTTAGAATAAAAATGCACTATATAGTTACATTGAAAGTGCCAATGACAGCTGTGAATCATGTCTGAATCTAAAATATTATTTAATTTGACGCAAAGGCAAATCCATCTTTTAATGCATAATTGAAAAATACACTTTAGATTTAATCACATTTTGACAAAAATTAAAAGCTGCTGCTTCATAGTCATTTCCAAGGTTAGAAGTTAAACTCAAACCATGCTGCTCTGTAGGAAGTATCCTCAACGAAGCCCATATTTTGGAAGAGTTTATAGGACACCATGTTGTCTTCCTCTATGAAACAATAAACCTGGTAGCCATCTGCATGGAGCTTTTTGGCCATGGTGCTGATCAAAACTTTGGCATAACCTTTTTCTCTGTGCTCGGGAAGCGTGTACAACATTCCCAAAGCGCAGTATTCATACACCAGGATCCAGGCCACAGGTACACCATAAGTGTCCAATATGCAGCAGGTTGGAAAGTTGCTAATAATGTTTTTAAAGTGCCTGTAACCCTTCTCATCCCCACCAAACTTCCAGGTTTTATTCACCATGTCAATGTGGGAGAGGCTGAGAGATGAAATCCTTGATTCAAGTTGACTGTTTGGGAAAAAAGAGAAAACAAAGTTAAAGTTTTCTTATTTTATTATATTGAGCTGTGATGAACTGGCGACCTGTCCAGGGTGCACCCTTCCTCTCACCTGAAACGTTCACTAAAGATAGGCAACAGCACCCCTCCTGACCCCACTATGGATGAGGGTGTAAGAAAATGCATGGATGGATAATACTGAGTTAATTGTATTTTGAAGCATACCTGTCAACATCTGGTGCACGTAGATGGCTGATGTCTGGAAGATACATAAGATGCACCAAGGTGAAGCTCCTGTTGTTCACTCTTTTTTCTGAAGAAACTTCTTTGAGTGTGGGCACATGGGAAATATCAAATCCTAAGGGGAAAAAAAATCTTTAAATATTCTCTTCTTATCTTGCTGCTTCAGTTCAAAATAGCAAAAAAGCACAGAGAAAATGAATAAGAGCGGTTTGATAAGTTCCTTCTTTAGCTAGTAAAATTATGCTACTGAAGTTATGTATAGTATACTGAAAGTTCATCAAACTGTATGCTGCACTCTGCAGGATTTTATCTGAAATAATGACAACAGCTGTTGATTTTCAGCATAACTGACCTCCAATTAGGAAATAAGTGCTCCAGTCAACTTCTTCGCTCAACAGTTTCCTTAAAACTTCCTCATCTGTGCTAAAGAACGACACCCTCTTCATGAAGTCCTCGGATCGCTTGTTCTATTTTAACAACCAAAAGTGCAACATTCCATTAATAATAAATCATTTAAAAATATTTAGAAATATGTGATAAATATAATACAGTAAGACATGTACATTGAATGAATAAACAAATGTATCTATGATTATATGATATTTAGTGTTTTAATAAATTATACTTAAATAATAAAATGCAGAAATTAACATTTTAGCTTTAAATATTCATGTTGTAATAATAATAATAATAATAATAATAATAATAATAATAGGCAAATAGTAATAACACATAATTTCAGATTATTATGATTTTATTTACATTATTACATATATTACATATATGAATATTTCTTTGTGGCTCTTTTGATCCACGATAATAATGTTAATGTAAAATTATGCAAATCAGTGATACCACTTTTTACAGCGTTTCCACATTCGCGCTGGCCGTGAACTCACCTTAGGATCCGGGCGCAAAAGGATCACTTTAAATTCTGGCCACGAATCAACAACAACTTCCGCAGTGCTCGTTTTGTTCCTATTACAAGTGTAGAGGGAACCGTAAACCTGAAAACAATCAAAACAGCGGTGATGTTTTTCTTTTTTTCTTTTTTTAAAGCAGAAAAGTACCACTAATAAAGGGTACCTTATAACTCCTCGGGAAATGTTTAAGCAAAACTCCCTCAGCGATCTGAAGCTCGTCTTTATTTAGCACCTTCATGTCTGGTTTACGTGTAGCTTGTTTTTCAATTTCTATGGCGAGTCTCAGGTTGAAAACCCTTGATGAACTCGATGCTTCAGCTTTTTATATGCGTATATAAACAAATGATTAACAACCGGTTCATGTTTTTTTCAAGTTGTGGAGTTTAAACAACTTCCTGTTTTAAGTTTTGTAAAATAAAAGCCTTTTGAATTTTTTTTTTGTTTTGTTTTGTTTGTTTGTTTAGCGTTAGTCTGGCATAAAATGCCTTCCTTCTTGCCACTTGCTCATAAATGTAGCATGCATGACTCATTTGTAGAGTGAATGAGTCATGCTACATTTGATCTGTTTTGAAGCCGTTTTGAGTACTAAACTCAAACGAGTTTAGTACTCTCTACCAGCAGAAAATAATGAGATTAACTGTTTGCCATGAACAATACAAGCCCAATCACAATGTATTACTCTCTGTTAGAAGTTTTCAAACACAAAAAGAAAATGTTCACGAATAGATATTTAACAGTATGTGTGCGATTGGGTTAATAAGATGCAAACTGTCAGAAGTAAAGGCTTATAACATATATATGAGTCAGCCATATTGGGTATAAAACTCGTGACTGCTGGCAAACTCTAGTTTTACCAAACAGAATTCCAACTTCAAGGAAATTGTTATGGTTTTTCCATCTGGTAACACTGAAAATGCACCATAAAAAGTGTCAGCCAGGCAGATTTTTGAGTCATGGATTTGTCCATATCTTAATTTTTCCACAACTTTATCTCTGACCTACCCAGAGCGTTTCTTGGTCTTCATGATACTGTTTGTTCAATCTCTTTCCTTCCACTTATCACACTGTCTAATTTGCTGGTCTATCACACGAAATCCAAATAAACACATTGGAGTTTATGGTTGTAATGTTACCAAATGTGAAAAGAAGTCTGATGAATACTTTCGTAAGACTGCGTACTGAATTGTTTACTCCCCAGGCAGTTTCACAATCATTTACACCACAAAAAACACCTTATGTATTTGTTTGTTAAGAATAACTGCACAGCAACCCAAATGACTCACAGAATGAACAGCTGGGTCAGAGGATCATGCGACCTTAATCATGCTATTAGTGAGATTGTTCTAAACAAATAACTCCCAGTGCATGATGAGAACTGAAGAAACATTTTGGATAAGAGGTCAAATGTCCTAAAAAAAAAAACCAAGAGTTCCAGGTGACTTTATACTTAGAACTTGACATCTACACAATGAATGGTTCTCTTTATAAAAATGTAACCTTACAAAGAAAGCCTTTTTATTAAAAAGATAGACACTAATCTACTGCACTAAAACTTAAGCTTGTGAAGAATTGTTTTCTCAGCAGTTGGCAAACAAACAAAAATGGTTCTGCTGTCCTTTTACAACATATTCAGCTTAGCTCTGGCAGATCAATAAAGTTAAAACCAAAAGCACTGTCCAATCGCCTCCGACTAATTGTACTAATGAAGTGCCTGGTAAGTGTATGCCTTTACTGGATTTTGTAAGTAACGGTAGACCACATTTTCCATTCTTAATAATTAACTGCAGCCCTTTTGCGATGACATTGCCATTTAACATGCAGAAAGTCTGACAGATACCTAATAATAAACTAATTTGTGAAGCAAAAGAGGAAGATGTATTTTCATGGAGACTTTCAAAAACAATCCAAGAGGAACTTTATTTCAAAAGAATTTGATGATGTTTTCCATGCCGCATTACTGTGCAACGTTATGTGTACAGTGCAAATAAAGAATATATTTATAATAATTACATTTAGACATTTATAAAAGTTCCAAAGCAACTTTATAACTGTGTGGGGTTTACAAGTTAATCAAACAATTTAATGCTTTATTTAATTCTTCATGTTGGTTCTATAGTAAGTTTTTTAAAAACAGAAATTCAATGAGGTGAGAAACAGAAAGTAATATAGGAAAGATTTCCTGCGATGGGTATGTTAATTAATCTAAAAGAAATGTGTTAGATGAAGTTTGCTCAACAAACAGTGCTGAGAAGTTTCCTTTCTAGCATTTCTCTTCCACCATCTCGATGTCATTGAGCCATGGGCGGCTCCACACGGTGAATTTGCACTGGTAAGTCTAAAAAAAACACACAAAAAAACAAAGCCCAGAATGAGAATGAGTAATACAATCATTTTAGCTTAGTGACATCATTTGTACACTTCCCAATGCAGACAAAGGGAGTGGCCTTGCAGGCTCATCAGCAAGATTTACCGGAGCATCAGCTGGCAGGCTTTTGACGTCGCACACTTGATTAAAAGTGTTCTTTCTGCAGGAGGTCTTTACCATCTTCACAGTTAGGATGTACTTCAAGCCTGCGACCACCTTAAAAGAGAAGTAAAAATAAAGTCGGCAGACAAAAAAACAAAGCTATATAGCTCAGACGCTTTACTACTGTTTTAGAGACCCAATTTTCAAGCAGTTAAAAGGCATTGTTTACGGGTGCTATGTTAGTGGTATCCTGTAATAATCTTCTTATCGGATTTGAATAAAATAAATACAAACATTTCAAAGTATTAAAAGATAACATACCTGAACCTGAGCCTTGACCACTTCAGCTGCTTGACGGAGGAACATGTCGTTGTTTCTTCTGTTGTGTTGGACAACAGCGAAGTTCAGCGCATTTTGGACACCGTCATTGTGGATGTCTATATCTGTCGCGCCACCAACCAAAGACCCCTCCACAGCTGCAAGAGCTGAAAGTAAAACAAAAGCAATCTTCCACATCGTTGTTATGCGTGCCGTGCGGTAGAAGGGAAATAGGAAAGCACTGGCGGAAAGTCTTTACTGTTATGTAAACAAGACCCGCCCTGAACATGAATTATAGGCAGAGGACGCAGCCAATCAACAGTCTCTCTGCGACACAAATCCCGCCTCCCTATCACATCCTGGTTATTACATTGTTTTGATTTTGCATTTTCCGCTTCCGCTTTCGCAGCGCTAAAGTGTATTAAACCATGATAAAAAATTAAAAAAAAACCCGACCAGAGTCGACTGAATCTGTATTACAAATAATAATAATAATAATAATAATAATAATAATAATAATAATAATAATAATAATGATAATAATAATTAAAATGCATACAATTATTATCAATATAATATAATAAACATATACAATATGATTTTTAATATTGTATGGTTCGTTCTTTGTTTTGTTTTGTTTTTTTCATTTCAAAATAAAATTGCAAAAACAAAACAAGCATGTGTTTTTTTTTTGTTTGTTTTTAAAACGAAATTAGAAAAACGGCAATTGCAAAAATAATAAAGAAAACAAGCTGTTAATTTCGATTTTCATTATTTCATTATTGACGAGCGGTCTGACCCGGAAGTTCTCTCTGTCCGGCTTACACAGGGGCCGTATCATCGCGTATCATAACGAAGCTGAAGTTGGTTTCCAATTCTAGCTTCCATCGTTAAAGGGCGATTTCACCTAATTTGTCACTACCTTCCACATCTTTAATCGACTCTAGTTTAAAAACTACTGCACCGAGACACTTGAAACTTGGACTGGATTATTCTCCTCTTCAAGCTGAATATTTAAAACCTTGTTTGGGATTTGTGAAACATTTTTCTGATTTGTGAAAACTCAATAAAGTTCGATTTTCACCATATTTTTGTATCTCTTTCATACCAGAACTGCTCTCATTAAAAAAATTACTACACACAGGCACTTCAAATCTGGACTAGATTATTCTCCTCTTCAAGAAGAATCTTTATAACCATGTTTGGGATTTGTGAAACCTTTTCCTGATTTGTGGAAACTTGATAAAGTTTGATTTTCACCATTTTTGTGCACCTGGATCACCATAGACCTGCTCCAATTAAAAAACTACAACTCCTAGACACTTCAAACCTGGACTAGATAATTCTCCTCTTCAAGAAATTCTGTGGTTTAACGCCTCACAATATCTTTTCACATTTTTATAAGTGACGCATGGCTGTCCAATTAGAAATGAAAATCTTTGTCCCCTTAATGAGACTATTTATCCATCCATCCATTTTCTTCCGCTTATCCGGGGTCGGGTAGCGTAGACAGCAGCTTCTGAAGGGAGGCCCAGACTTCCCTCTCCCCAGCCACTTGTTCCAGCTCCTCTGGGGGAAACCCAAGGCGTTCCCAGGCCAGCCGAGAAACATAGTCCCTCCAGCGTGTCCTATTTATTATAACTTATTAGAGTCAACTCATCAATAATGAAATAATGAAATGTTTAAAGTAATTTTGATCAATTTGATCAACATGTTTTTTGAATGGTAAGTAATTGAGAAGCGGAGATAATAATAATAACATTAAATCCATAAGTTGTTTAGATGTAATGTTTTACTGCAATTATGTGTAGTATTGTAAATTATATATTAAAACTGTTACAGTGAAGAAAACTCAAACAAATGTATCATGGACCCCTGATGTAAATCATTTTGAGTTTGAATTTTCACAGTGAAAACTCAGCCACAAGAGGTCACAAAATGATCATGATAGTCGCGAAATTAACTAGATGTACTAAAGAAAGTTGTAAGCCCCTCTAACATATTCTAATGTCTGTGGTGAAACCTTTAAGCTTTTCCAACCTATGAAAAACAAAAACTGTTGTTCAGTTGTGGTTGAATATTTCACAGCTCTCTCTAATTGCCTGTTTAAAATTGCTAACTTTTAAGCTTATTCCACAAATTTAGAATAGTTGAGCTTTATCTTTGTCCATCTACTTTGTCTTAGATCACTTTCTGTTGAAACACCCAGCTGTGTCAAAACTTCAACTGTCGAGCTGTTTTATCCATAGTGCACTGTGCAAGTTTGAACATAAAACCAGTTTTAGGAGAAAATTTCAAGCAAGCTTGAATATGTTCTTTTTGGTGGGTTTGCATAGTCCATAGAAATGTAAAACTGGCTTACTGTGGAAAGCAGGATTCAAGGATTTCTTAAAAGTGTCTGTTTTTGTTACACTTTCCAGTTCATGGCTACAGAGTAAGATTACAGGACACTAAATAACAAAAAAACTAGAAAATTCCTTGAGAAATTTAACCGGGGCATGCCAAAGTGTGCCCGTCGGCTTGGACCCAGCGTTCTGATGCTAAAAATTAGCATTGATGCTAAAGAAAGCTGCAATGTAGTCAATAACCTGTGGAGAGGCAGAAGCATGTTGACAAAGCTGTACTTGTACCATTCATTATGTTAAAATGAATACATAATCTAAAATTAGCCAAAGTGCTAATATTAGCATGAAGGCTATCAGTATCATGTGGAGCATCACTAGCATGTTGTCTGTTATTGACTTACTTCATTCAGTATACTAAACTAATATGCTAATATGCTAATATGTTACTTTAGGTAAAAGGCTTTATATTTTAGGTAAAAGGATAATGCTAATGCCCTTGCATTAGTTAAGGGCAGTGAAATGCTAACGTTTGTGCTAATGTTAATGAACTGCCTTGCTGTTCACTATCCTGAGACAAAAAACGTAAAAAAAAGCCTAATATTTTTGCACCACCTATGGCGGTGCACTGATGTGAGAGGGATGTGCAGGTTTTTTTTTTTTTTTTCACTTTCAGTAAGATTCATTTTAATAACCACACTAATTCAATGTGTAACAGTGGTTTGTTTAAACCAGTCACATAGAGACCAAAGGAGCAATTACCTGATGTAAAAATTGTCAGGGCTTTTATTTTGAAATTTCAGTAAACTTCATTTTAAATGGCCACACTAAT